CACACACACACACACACACACACACACACACACACACACACACAAACATGCACACACACGCAGTATGCTTGCACTCACAAATAGGCTCAGTCATATGCTCAATATAATAAATGTTTGGCTCTTTTCGTCTATGCAGACGGTCAATTTAGCTTGAGATGGTCTCAAGGTTGTCTTCATGCAGCTTCTTTCATGGCTAATTCTTCCTATGTGTGAAGCGCAGATTCTGTCGCAGTGCTTGCATGTCAGTGTCGTAGATCGAAGCTCTGTTTTTCCGCTGTTTTCCTTTCGTCGTTGGCGCTTCTCAGCCTGGTTGTTTCTAAGGCTATTCTCTAGCATTTTAGTTTTTTCCTTTATAATTTTCCTCCATGTTTTCCGGTCCTCAGCTATTTCTTCCCAGATGTTAAAAGCTACTCCAAGCTTAGATAAGCTGTTTTTGCAGGTGTCTTTGTACCTCAATTTTGGTCTTCCTCTTACTAATAAATGAACAGTACTATATAAACAAGAATAAAAGTTAAGCTAGATACATACTCAGTATTCTGACTGTAATTCCATGTTATTCTTCTGCATGCTCTAAGGTGATATGAATACTTGTAACAAGATGGTTAAGATGGAAGAATTTTGATGGATGATGGTAAATAATGAGCTTCTGTATGTTTCTTTGTGACAGATCAGAAGCCTTGGTCTTTTTCTTCTGACTGATGTTTTTATTAGAGGGAACAAAGGATGTTTATTGTCCTCCTTCTTTTTTGTGTTTGTTACTCTTTTTTTAACACCTCTAATCTTCGGCACCTATATGACCTTATTGTATTGCAAATGCCGTACAACTCTTACTAAAAGTAAAAAGACTTTATTTTGGGTAAAAAAAGAAGAAAAAGCTGTTAGGGGAGTAGATGCTTGTACTCATCATGCTCCCCCTTTTCTTCTCCACCCAGGTCACGTTCCGCACGCGCATCTACCACTGTAACATCAACAGCCAGGGGGCCATCTGCCTGGACATTCTCAAGGACAACTGGAGCCCCGCGCTCACAATTTCTAAGGTGATGATCTGTCCTACACCAGGACTGTGTTGTATCGTAGCATGTGTTACTGTACCATATTGTAACAACGTACGGTACTTTTCCACGCCGTACCATACTATTCCATGCCATACCATATCAGCATTACATTTCTTGTTTTGAGTAATGAAATACTTAAAATGTTGTTTGAAATTCAATTTTGGAAGGGTTTTTTGTTACAAAATTTTCTATTATCTGCTGATACTTTTAATATTTTAAAATTTAAAAACAATCTCCCCC